ACAAACCTTAACATACCAACATTGGTTTCAACTGATTCTTTCACACTTAAGGCTAACACAATTAATTCGCTATTAAATTGCATATTAGTAATAACAACACAGTTAAATCCTTTAATATAACGTATTGCAGCCCAAATATCAGTAGTTTGTGTGATGATTAAACCTTTTTATATTGCTGTTACCATAGTTACTAAACGCCTCTCCTCTTACGCAATGTCTGGAGTGATCTTGAGGGAGAATCCACTTGGTTGGGAGTCATTTTGTGTCTGATCGTGTGGCGGTGTGTGTCTCTCTGGTGCAGTGGGGGCAGTGGAGCGCTCTGACACTGATCTGGGGAGGCACGGCGCATGCTAGGACGCACTCGGCTGGCTTGTAAACACAGTCGGTTGCCCTCGGAGGAGCAGGGTGAAGCGAGTGTCTGTGGCAGAGACAGGGATGCTTTCTGTGACCCACTCCACTTTAGACCATGGAGCCGAGTGTTTACAACTGTCAATGTGATTCTGCCCCCTTTGTTCGAAGTCAATTGAGTGAATAAGTAATCGCCAAGTGCCTTCATTGTCAGTAATCTTCTCTGACAATATCCATGATGTACTTTTGTGGTACTACAAGGGAACAAGAAACGGGACAAGTAGTCAGTTTTTCGGAAATGGAAGCTCACAGTTAAGATGTATATTTTTATGTTTTTTCCCAGTGATGCAGAAATATTAGTGCCTTAGGTCTATGTCCACTTCCCCTGTCTGTCCAATCGGTCCTTGAGCACCTGGACTGTCAACTTACATTTTAACAAGACCCAGTGTAGTGCTCTACTGCTCTGCCCTCTCAAGTTATTACTATTTTTTTGGCTAATAAGTACTGGGGATTGAGTACTGGGGCTTTAAATTAAGTAAGTAAGTAAGTAATGTTTTCTTATATTGCACATTTTACAGATCTAGGTCACCCAAAGCGCTTTACAATGTTCAGAACCAGATATATACCAGATAAATTAAGTATAAATAAAACATATAGAAAAAGCTGGTGCAGTCATTCTGAAACAATTGTGGCGCAAGCTTGAGAAGCAAAAGAGATTATCTTTGTAATTGTTATAATTGAAAAGACCTGACCTATTTTGGATTGTTTTTGAAATAATGTAGGATTTTGAATCGGCTAGAATCAAACAATGGAATTCTTCCATACAACTTTGGCTAAACCACTTGGATACATCTCCACAATCCATGAGCCTAATATTTAAAGCTGTAACTTCCGACCAGAGAGACGCAAGACATTATTTTAAGAGAAAGAAATTGTGCAAACGTTACTCAATCAAGGACCATCTTCAAGGATTTCTTATTGATTCTAATCCAAACAGACTGGATGTTGCTGGCCTTCTCAGTGGCCGCAACATTTGTGAACATGGCAACAGTAATATTCCCTTCTCTTTGCTTTGTCTGCACCATGGAGCGCCCAAGCTGGAAAAGCCCAGAGCATTTGAGCACTCTCGGCTAAGTGGGGTCTTAACAGGTGTTTAAAACGCACTGGGACGAATATTTGTGTCCGCTCAGATGGCAGAAGGCGGCCATTACCTCTCTCATTACCGGATAAGTGACAGAGAATGAAGGGCAAGGGGGACGCGTAATGTTGTGACATAAGGCCATTTGGTTTGGAGTCGCAGGAAGTTGGCTGTGCTGGTGCATAAATCGTTTGTGTGTGTGTGTGTGTGTGTGTGTGTGTTTGTGTCTGGGCCAAGGATGAAGGCAGAGCGCTAATGCTAATGCTAAGATGAATAGTGTGTTGTAGTGCAATGTTGTGACGTACACTTTTCACTTCAATTCAATTCATATTTTCATAGCCCTAATTCACAACAGAAGTCATCTCAAAATAACTTTACAACATTGTCAATACGCAGACAATAAATTAGAGAATCAAACTAAACACAACTCGATAAGAAACCAAGGAGTCAATGATCCATGTAGGGTACCGTTATGACCACTCGACAAGTATATTTTGAGTTTTAAAATAAACATTATGGAATTTTGTCTTTTTTGAGCTTACTAAAACATTGTTCTCTTATTAAAAACACACCTGGATTTTTTTTTTACTCCGTCCACACTGATAAAATCTCGCACAAATACATCCAGTCCCACACCTTCTATACAAATACGATTTTTTAAAATTTGGTGTGCTTGGACAAATCCTCAGACTATAATATCATGGCCAGAACCTCTAATTTTTCTTTGTGAATTTCTTAGGTTCTTTACGACTGCTGCTTTAATTAGAGAGCACCGTGTTAGATTCAGATCCATCACTAGCATAGTGTCATCAGATTCAGATTCAGATTCATTTATTTGCCATTTGCAGTAAAACCACATTGGAAAAACTGTGCAAGACTACCCCGGTGTGCACCAGACAGAGAAGACGACACACACCAGAGCTCTTGCCACCCACATCTACCAGTAGACGGGGGTGTTGCACATTCCCACAAATTTGTATCTATATATTTTCTACTTCAGACAATTTTTCACAATCTAAAACATGAAATACTAAAGTAAAGTAAAAAATCAGGCTAAAATTGACCATATACTGTATAACACGTACTATTTGTTCCGTTAAGAAATGCTTTGTAACATCTCCATTGAAGTGTGCGCCATCTACTAATACTGGACTCAGACTTAAATTTTAATAGCCACATCAAATCAGTAACATCAGCAGCTTTTTACCATCTAAAAAACATTGCCAGGATCAAAAACATAGTGTCTAAAGCAGACTTGGAGATTCTTATCCATGCATTTGTCTCCAGTAGGTTAGACTACTGCAATGGCCTGCTCACAGGTCTGTCCAAACAGGCTGTAAAACAGCTGCAGTACATTCAAAATGCAGCAGCTCGAGTCCTGACTAGAACCAGGAAGTACGACCACATTAGTCCTGACTAGAACCAGGAAGTACGACCACATTAGTCCAGTCCTCAGGTCTCTGCACTGGCTTCCTGTGGCTCAGAGAATAGACTTTAAAACAGCTCTGCTTGTGTACAAGTCTCTCCATGGCCTCGCACCAAAATAAATTAGTGACATGTTAGTCCCATATGAACCAGCCCGGACTCTGAGGAGCACAGGGACTGGACTCCTGTTAGTGCCCAGAGTCAGAACTAAACATGGGGAGGCTGCTTTTCAGATTCATGCTGCTAAAATCTGGAACAGTCTTCCTGAAGATGTGAGACAGGCCTCCTCTCTGACAATGTTTAAAACCAGGTTAAAGACAGTTCTGTTTAGCTGTGCATACAACTGAGGGATTTTATATTTGTATCTTTCTTTTTAATGTTCTGTGATTATTTATGATTTTAATGCTTTCTTGTTTTGTTGAGCACTTTGAATTGCCTTGTGTATGAATTGTGCTAATGTGGAAATCAACTGTCACCGTCTTTCATTCCGAATGTAAAAATACCACTTTTGTTTTCACAGCGTTTAATTTGAGCCGTGCAAACGTTTTGAGGACACAAAATAGAACAGTGACCTATTGTTCGGTTCCTACAAAAGGGATAGGCTTCTGGCAGCAGCAAATTACACATAAATGCTTTAATTTGCAGTTTGTGAATCTCAACAACAGTTCTCTGCCTAGTCCTGTTCTGTAGTCCTAAGATGCATTCAAGGCCAGCAATGACAGTGCCACAGTTCCCAAGGATTTCAATGACAGAATAGTATACAGGGAAGGGCTTCAATGATTATTTTTTGAATGTATTCTACTCATTCTACACCTTAGGTCAACAACAAAACACACACATTATTGGATTAATTGTTTAAATGTATTTGATGCTTGTGTTGCTTCAGCACTGCCTGAAAAAAGGGGACGGGGTTTAGCTGTGTCTCTGTTCTTCTATGTGAAAGGGAAAAGGCAAAGGACCCACAGAGCGCAGTGGTCAGTGCAGAACATGAGGCTTGATGTGGCTTCTGTGAAAGCCTGATCTCTCCCGGGGGCTCACTGTGACCACAGGTCACTGTAAAACGCTCTGCAGTCTCCTGTGAGCTTAGCCAGAGAATATGTGTAATCATAAGCACAGGTACACAAACCTCTGCTTCTTCATTTGGGCATTATACATCACTGGGCTTAAGGCACAAGCATTAACAGACAGGATAGACACATAGATACATAGATACATAGATACGAGTGCGCCTTGGCATTTCAGCAAAAATGTTGGATGCTAGAGTACTCAAAATGTAGGCACACTATGAAGCCCAGCATTTACTAACATTAGGGTCTTACAATGTAAAGCTGGTAAGGAGTATAGATATATTACGTTGTAAAAACAATTCTTAAAGATGACATAATAAGATACCTGACGTAATGAGAACATCACAATCTCAAAATTTGATCAAAAAATGTTGTTATAAAAGAAACAAGTCCTGACACGTACATATTCAATCCCGCTTAGCCTCTTTTTGTGACGTCACTGTAAATTTGGTCACATCAAAAGCTCAGCACTCTCAATCTGGCCAGTGAGAAAGTTGGTGATCAACGGTTTTTTTCCCCCGGTAAACAAAAAATACTGCACAATGCTGTCTGCGCAACACAGATTCAGAAGTTTAAAAAAATGTAGAACAAAGCAAGTAGTCTCCATTTTGCAGAGGAGTCAGAAGGAGAGACAATGGTGCCTTGGTTGTACAAGAAAGTATGGATGGAACTTGTGTATAAATAACAAGGGAAAATACCAAGTTTAAAAACTGCCTTGGGTAAATTAAGCACATTATGACACCTTCTATCACATTCTACAAATACATCGTGTCGTCAGCGTTTCAATTACCGTTGAAAAGTGTGGTTGAAATGACAAATATCCTCTGAATTGCTTTTGAGTGGGCTAACGCATAGTCACCATTAGCGCTGTGCATTTCTCTGTTTACAACTCCATTTAATAGCAGCCCATATTAGCTGGGAAACATTTGTACACGTCTGGCCTTTCCAGCAGCTGTCAGCATCACTGAGCATGCAGGCAGGTAGCAGGAGGAGGTGTTTTGCTTTGCGCCTCGTTGCCTTACCTCTCAGGTCCTGCCCGGAGCGTCCCGGCCCGCATGTGGTGCTCTGACGGGGCATGCGCAGCGACGTGCGTAATGGAGTGTGCCTCTGCTCATCCAGGTAAGCCAAGTCTTCCAGGTGAGCCGAACTGGTGGCTACAGAGAGGAAGATAGAAGGTAAAAGTAGCAAAATTAGAAATAAAAAAAATTCAGCTTCAAACTTCTGGAATGCAGCTTGTGAGCACATACAGTATTACTCTAGTACCGCTCAAAGTGTTCAAGGCTGTCGACAAGCCTCACTCACTTTGGTTGTAATCCAATTTCTAAGAATGCCTTTTTGCTTTCTACCGCTTCATTTTGAGAACTTTTTTCCCATTCAAATGTTTATAAATGTTTAATTTATGTAATTGATGAATTTATTATAATTTGTCCATGTCATCATATCACCTACAAACAACGTGTACTGTTTTTACTATGGTGCAACATGAACAAACAGGAACAGAAGGAAGACAAAAAACCATATTCTGTCCCTTGTTTTGCTGGTTGCAAAGATATCCAACCCTTTCAACCCCAACGTCACCCGTCACCAATCCAGCATTTTTACTTACTTTTCCAATAAAACAAACTTTCTGTACACTTAAATATAAACATTTTCTGTTTTTCCTTATGATTGTAAAAAAAAGAAAGAAAAAAAAGATACGAGAAGCCCATTTAAGTCGCCCTGAGCGTTCCATAATCGAACAGCACATAGAGACATTATTATTTCATAGTAGTTCTTGAGTAATTCTCATTGAAAAACATCACTGGCCTAATGTCCTCTTATTTTGAAAGAACAGCACAACAAAATGCAGTAATTTTCTTAAACATGTAAATATATAAAATCAAGTGGAGCTTAAAAGGTCTGGAAAACATATTTATCCTGAATTCTCATGAGATAACCTTTTCAATAATATTTTGTAGATTCAATCCGACTCACCTCGACTCACACCCTCCAACACTAGTGTCCGAGTCAATGGTCAGGCTGCACTTGTTTAGCTCTATATCCCTCACCCCAAACTCCCCCATTCTTCCCGCTCCGTGGCTGTCACACAGACGGGTGCCATCCGCGCCCTCTCAGGATTAATTAGCTCAGCAGACAAATGTCTTATTCATGGAGTGAGCGCTGTCTGACGCTGCCTGTTGATTGTTCACAACAGGTTGTGTCTTCGGGCTCAGAACCAGCCAATGGTAAATGAGATCTGACACAGGCAGAGAGAACAGGGGACTTCACCACACCTGCGCCACGTTCTTCAAGTGTGAAATAAGCTACAATTTAAAGTTATTTATGGAGGTGATGGAGAGCTTATTATCAGAACAAGCAGGTGTTGTGAAATAGGAAAAGGAAAATAAATGTGTGGCGTAGTTTGAAGCCAGAACTCAATATATTGTAGTTTTTTGTATTGATTGATACGTTGCTTCATACATTTATGGACATTTATCATAATTCATGGACTTTGGTCCACTGCCCCGTATGGACCAATGGCTCTGTGTTTTTAATGATTGCATTTCTTGTGTTGAACTGTTGATTCTCTGGTATGTGTTGGCAAATTCAACCGCGGAGATAACTACTGTTGTGATATAGGGCAATAGAGGAATACATTTAATTGAATCAAATAAACTAACTGTAACTTGAATAAACAATATAATTGCCACGTTAACAAATTCAGGTGCTTGAACTAACCCTATCAAAGGATTGCATATTCCTTGACCTGGTTACTTGACCTTATGGTCCACACATAAAGAGAGAGAGAGGCAGGTAAAGGGACCTCCATCACTAAATATCCAAAATGAAACCAGATTTGTATTTCAAACACTTCAGTGGATTACTAATATCAGGACAGAATGCATAATCATATGCTACTCAACTAGAGGTATGCAAACTCTTAACAAGTGGAACCTTTATTATTAAGTTATATATAGTAATAGAAACAACTCTAAACACCATTTAAATTACAATTAGAATCATTTGTATATCCATTTTAAGTAAACCAGGAATTTTCTTATATATGGTAAGGTAAAGTAAATACAATTCCAATATATAAATACACACAAAAGACAACAGAAAATGGTCGACTTTAAAGGAATAGGCCACCGTTTTTACACACTGACATACTGTATGTTCTTACCTTAGACTAGTTGATATGTCTATATCAACTAGCACTAACTCCAACAAGTCACGCTGCTTCTATTGACGGAAGTCTTTGGGTGTAAGTGCGCGGACATAGCGCTCCTCGTATTATTACGCCTCACAATATAGTACCCCTTTTTATCCGCTGAGAAAATCGACATGTTAAATTTCTGTGTTACTATACTTTGCAGAGTAACACGTCACGTAACTGTATTTAAATAGGGAACACATGGAAGAGTTTGGTAGCTTCTAACGGGAGCTGATTTGTTACTATACAGAATGTGGAAGAGGCTGCGTTTGTGCTCCGTTTGCAAGACAGAGCGCACGGACAAAGATCACACAGGTACATATCAACTAGTCTAAGGTAAGGTAAGAACATATGTCAGTATGTAAAAACGGTGGCCTATTCCTTTACCAAGAGAAAAAGCAAAAACTGTTTGTGTCAAAAAATAAAGTTTGTATCCAATATCAACAGAAAAAAAGGTCAAAGTTTCTCTGCAGTCTTCTGTCATTCTTTCAATATTGGCTTTAATCTCTCAAGAGAAACATGTCACCTCCACAGCACCTCAACACTGATCCCCTACGGCCAAAGAATCAAAGTATTTTCTCTTTTCCCCGGCTAATGCTTAGAGTCATTGAAGCAGTGAGTGATGGCCTGTATCCTCGCCCCCATGAGAGCGTTTTGCTGACTGGCTGCCCTGTCGCGGACCCAAAAATAAAAGCAAAAGTCACAAGTTTCCTTGAGAAGAGGCAAAATGGCAGCTGCGACCGCTAGAGGCTCAGAAGAATGGGCTCAAAGTGGAGACAGAAGGAGTGATCGTCCACAGGGGGAAAGGACTGGGGGCTACGCTGCTGGCTAATCAACTTTCAAGTTTGTACTGTAAGAATCCAGATTTTAGGCTTGGATTAGAACTAAGTGGATATAGTAAGATTGCGGGTTTAAATACATTTAATTACCTGTTTTAGCATAAGTAAATCTTACTTCAATGAAGGAAAAAAACTGTCAACTGAAGTCAATAGAATAATATACTGCATAGAAAATGCTGTATTTATTCATTCCACAGAAATACAGCAGATCCCATTCTATTCTCTCAGCACACCACCATGCATGTCAAAACCTGATCTTGATCAGACGGTAAGCAGTGCAGGATATGGTTAGTCCTGTGATGGAGACCGCTGGGAATTCCACAGAGGGAACGGCTGGGCCTGTGAAGTGTCAACCTCCAGTCGCATCCATGAGCAAGTATTGAGAATTTGGTGAGGGTTAGAGGGCCCCACTGCCAGCAGTCTGTCCCAGGGCAGCTGTGCAAACCCAGATTACAGCCATACATAAAAAATGCAAAGGTAAAAAAGCAAGAAAGCTATGTGAATCTTTAATAAAAGCTGTAATTTACTGATGAGCTAAATGAGAGCTCAACGTTAGAATACAACAAATTTTGATCGCACAACAAAGTTTTAACGCTTAAAATAACTTGATTGCGTTGAGTGTGACGTCGTCTTATCTGAGGTGCGGACCTAAATGTCCTAAACAAGAGGAACAATTCGCAAAGGGCACTGACGCAGACCTGTGCGAGTGACTAATCAACTCCTGGAGCAGAGTTTCGAAGGTTTAACTGTATTTGAATCTGAACACAGGCTTCTCTGGCTCCTCATCTCTATCTGCAATGCAGCAGGCTGCTGGGGATCACTTTCACTGTTTCTGTGCCAATGCGCTAAGACTGCATCATGTCAAAATAAAGAAAGGAAAACTCTAGAAGTCAGAATGGAGTGAGAAAAACGGTGTAAACAAAATCCAGCTCCAGCAGAGGAGTCGGCAGCATAGTGTTTCAGAGCAGGAAAATGACAAATGATGAAGTGATGCGAGAGCGCGCAGTCCGTGTGAGGGCTGTGAGCGGCCTAAAGGACATAATGTAACAAAACATTGTGGACACCAAACTTTTTATTGTCCATTTTATTGTCTGTTATAGACTATAAATTTGTGTAAGCTCTCGAGTGTACAGGGATTATTCAAAACAAACAAAGGTTGCTCACCCATACCTTAAAATATAGTTATAGACTATAGTTTAACCTTTAACATTTTTGCACACTTCCTGTCTATATCTATTAATAAAAAAACAAAAACAATGAAAGTCCTGATGCACTGATGACGAGACAGCAAATAAGGGGGCCTCAACCTTGTAGCAACCATCATTTTGGTGTTCATAAACCCTGCAAAGAGCACCCTTTGATTTTCCCCGTTCAGGCTGAGCTGAGAAAAGTCATTCAGCAGAGAGACCAGTGCACCAGGCCTGACAAGAGGGCCTCCATCTCCCAGATCCTCCCAGAACCCTGAACACTCCCAGATCATGGAAAGGTCCCAGTAACTCCACCGTGCAACCCAGCTAACACAGTCTATAGGGTCTAAGTAAGTCCTATGTGATAAGTTGTTATTGTCCATTTGAAAACATTTGCCTGGCCAATGCTTGACAACAACAATACAAACATCCACAGAAATAATTCCTTGATACTGAGAGAAATAGAAGACTCATTTTATCCGTCTGTTTGACACTGTATGACGTCACTTGACTATTGGAGATCTACTGTAAAATAAAACTGAGCTTACAGTGACCGTCAAGTTTTTTAAGGTGCAATAAAGATTTTTTTTTACTCTTTCTATGTTCTAAGACTTAAGTGGAAGAAAAACAGTGAAGTAAATCGAAATCAATGAGTCCTGTCCTCCACGAAAAGTAAAAACATTATTTGTGAATGCCTCTTATCTTAATTTAGGGAATTTGCTGCAGTTAGAATCACTATGCAGCAGACTAAGTGTTTTAATGCATTCAAGTATTACGCCGCAATGTGGAAATACTTATCGTCCATTAGTTAAAGACTTTTTCTCCTTCTTATATATAAAAGCAGCTAAGGATTAAGCCTGCTTTATATTTTATTCAGCGCTGGTTAATGAGGCGATTTGGTGGTAGAAGTAATCCTGGTTTCCTCCTCATGAGGT